CTTTTCAAGTGGCTGCACTTGGTATACGACAAGTACTGCTGATTGCTAAAATGAATGTGCCGTCCGAGGTCATACATGGATCGCTTCGCGATTTGCACGACCTGATGGGAACTCTTGGGGTGCTGTGTTGTGCTGTGCCGTGCAGTGGAGTGCAGTGCGATGCAGTGCAGTGCCACGAAGTGCGGTGCGGTGCGGTGCGGTGCTGTGCTGTGTTGTGCTCTGTATCTACCGATGCATGTATGTATGAATGAATGAACGAACGAACGAATGAACGTAGGGATGTATGGATGTACGGACGTATGAATGTACGAATGCATACATGCATGTATGTGCGTGCCACTCAAGTGGATTTAAGCATATCCACTCGCGCAAGTGGATTACATACTTCATGTGGGGATATTGATCCACGCGTGGATCTTTATCCACTTGGATGAGCCTTTGGGCGCGCCGGTCCCGGGCCCCGGGCCCCGGGGCCGGGTCCCGCGTCGGTCCCGGGTCCCGGGTCCCGCGCCGGTCCCGGGTCGCGGGTCCCAGGTCCCGCGCCGGTCTCGGGTCCCGGGTCCCGGGAACCGCGCCCGGGTCCCGGGTCCGGGTCCCGGGACCGGTTTCCCTCCCCCCTCCCAGGAGCGCGCCCGGGTCCTGGGACCCTGGGACGGAAAGGCGTCAGCCCGCGCGCAGCCCGCGTCACTCGCGTCAGCTCGCGTCAGCCCCCCCACCCCCCTCTCCCAGGAACGCGCCCGGGTCCCAGGTCCCAGGGCCGGAAAGACGTCAGCCTGCGTCAGCTCGCGTCAGCTCGCGTCAGCCCCCCCGCCCTCCCAGGAGCGCGCCCAGGTCCCGGGTCCCGGGGCCGGTCAGGTCAGCTCGCGCAGCCCCCCCCCCTCCAGAGCGCGCCCGTCCCGGGTCCCGGGTCCCGGGGCCGGAAAAACGTCAGCCCGCGTCAGTTCGCGTCAGTCCCCCCCCCCCTCGCCAGAGCGAAGCTTGAGCGAGCTCAAGCCCACGCTGTCAGGAACTCACACGCCGGATCGGCCGATTATTAATAGTAGTAGTTGTAGTAGTAGTAGAAGTAGAAGTTGTAGTGGTCGTCGCCGTCGTCTTCCTCGTCCTCGTCCTCGTCCTCGTCGTCATCGTCATCGTCGTAGTTGTCGTCGTCGTCGTAGTCGAAGTCGTAGTCGTAGTCGTCGTCGTCGTCGTCGTCGCCATCGTTGTTGTCGTTAGTTGTTGTTGCTGCTGCTGCTGTTGCTGTTGTCGTTGTTGTTGTTGGTTGGCGCTGCTGCTGTTGTCGTCGTTGTTGTCTTTTGTTGCTGCGGTTCGCTGTCGTGCTATACGCCGTCATTTTACAAGTAGACGCGCACGCCATTGTGCCAGACCGATTGTACCACGTAAATTGTTCACCACATCTCTTGCACCACGTAGGTTGTACCACATCGATTGCGACACATACATGTCACACCATGCATTGCACCGTTTAGGTTGCACCACGTCGACTGCGCCCCACCAGTTGTGCACCTCATAGAATACTAGACAAATCATCGCATGTTTGGAGGGCGAGAATGGCCTGATCCCTGGTTTCTGACCCCCGGAATGGAACGCCATCCCTGTCGGAACGGGCGGTTCCAATACAAATCATCGCATGTTTGGGCGGCGGGAACAGTCTGATCCTTGGTTTCTGGTCCCTGGAATGGCACGCGATCCCTGTCAGAACAGGCGGTTCCAATACAAATCATCACATGTCTGGGCGGCGAGAACAGTCTGATCTCTGGTATCAGAAGTAATCTATGAGGTGCACAAGTGCTGGGGCACAGTCGACGTGGTGCAACCTACATGGTGCAATGCATGTTGTGGTATATATGTGGTGCAGTCTACGTGGTGTAGTTTATGTGGTGCAAAAGATGTGGTGGTGTTTAACCTACGTGGTACAATCGGTCTGGTGCAGTCTGTGTAGTGCAGTCTGTGTTTTTGTTTGATGGCGTGCGCGTCTACCCTTGAAATGACGTTATACGGCACGACAGCGAACCGCAACAACAAACGACAACAACAACGAAGAAAACAACAACAATAACAACAACTCATAGCCAACCAACACAACACTAAGAAATACCAGCAAACAACAGTCACATAAACAGCAACAGCAACAACAACAACAGCAGCAGCAATAACAACAAGCGACAACAGCGACGACAACAGGAGCAACAGCTACAAATACACTTACACATACAACAAAGCAACAACAATAACAACAACAGTAGCAACAACAGCAACAACAACAACAACAGCAGCAGCAGCAACAACAGCAGCAACAACAACATCGCTTCTCGGCCCCCGAAAGGGTACCACGACACCCCCGAGAACCCCCAAAGACGCCTCAAGGGTTCCACAGGACCCCCAGGAGGCCCTGAGAGGCGCCCAAGAAATTCCACTGACCTCAAGAGGCGCCCAAGAGGCCCCCACCAGGATCCCGGAAGCCGCCCCCTCCTCCGCGTCCGCATCTCCAGGAGATCCCCCCCCTCTCCCGCCCTCCCCCCCACCGTCTTGGAGCCCCCCAAGAAAGCTCCAAGAGGGCCCCGAGAGGTCTCCGGTCACCCAGAGATGCTGGTGCAGCATCTCCGGGTGGCACGGAGGCTTTTCGGGATCTTCTTGGAGTTTTCCCAGGGCCTTCTTGGGGCTTTCTTGAACACTCCCAAGCCGTCCAGAAGCCCCCCAAGAGAGCTCCAAGAGGGCACCGAGAGGTCTCCCGGTCACCCGGAAATGGTTTTGCAGCATTTCCGGCGGACCTGGACTTTTTTCGGGACCTTCTTGGAGTCTTCTCGGGGCCTTCTTGGTGCCTCAGCAGGCCCCCAAGAGGCCCCCACAGGGCCCCCCAAGACGCCCTAAGAAGCCCCAAAGAAGCCTCAACTGACCTCAAGAGGCGCCCAAGAGGCCCGCTATCAGGCCCCAAGAAACCACCAGCAGGCCCCTAGAGGCCACCAGAAGGGCTCTCAAGAGGCTCGGCGATCGTTTCAGAAACGTACGAATTCGTACAATGTTTGGATACGTGACCCCAGCGCCGCGTCGACTTGCGAAGGCTCTCCGCATGCCCTCACGCCGCTTCACAAGAGGCGATCCTGATGGACAAAGTCTCGCAACATGAGTTCCAGTGGTCCCCTGGGTTCCCTCTTGGGGCCGTCCTGGGGGCTCCTTGGGCCGCATTGTGGCATCATGGGTCGTCTTGGTGCCATCGTGGGTCGTCTTGGGGCCCTCTTCGGTGGCCTCTTAGGCCGTCTTGGGGCGATCCTGGCGGCCTCTTGGGCCGTCTTGGAGCGCCGCTGGAACCCAGAAAAAGCGAGAACGCTAAAATCCGACAGAAAACCATGAGAACAACTATGGTTCTGGCCTCGTGGAGCCCCCGAGGGGGTCCTCTTGGAGCCCCCCCGGGGCGTCTGCAGGGTCTCTCTGGCCGTCGTGAAGCCATTGTGAGCGTTTTGGGGCGTTCTTGGGGGCGTCTCGGAGCCGCCTTGGAGCAGCGCAATCGCATTCGAAGCTCACGCGAAGTCTTTGGATACCTCAGGCTGGAACTTTCCTGAAGGCCCTCCGAGCCTCAAGCCGAGCCCCTCAAGAGGAAGCATGTGTACAAACAGCGGATACATTGTGACCCTCCCGCGTGGAAGCTAAACAAAACATTATTTTGGGGCCTTCTTGGGTCTCTCTTGGACCTTCTTGGGGTTTCATTAAGAGGACCAGAAATTTAACATACATTTAACACAAGACGCTCTCCAATAAGGAGGCGTTTCTTTTTAACAGTGTATTAATGAATTGGCCCTCCTGGAGGCCTCAGAGGGCTCCTGCAGGGACCGAAGAGGGCCCAGGATGGCCCCAAGAGAGACCCAAGATGGCTCCAAGAGGGCCAAAAGTATAAACAAACATTTAACACAAGACGCTCTCCGATAAGGAGGCGTTTTTTTGTTAAATGTGCGTTGAATTTGTTTGGCCCGCTCGGAGGCGTCTTAATGGCCCTCAGAAGGCCCCCGTAGGGCCCCAAGAGGGCCACAAGAGGGCTCCAAGATGGCTCCAAGAGGGCACCAAATTTAACACAGCACCAGCATCAGCACCACGGGCAGCCCAAGCAGCACCAGCAGCATCAACGCCAGCAGCAACAGCAACATCTGCAGTACCAACAACGAGAGAGGCAGCAACAGAAAGATGATTCCAATATTGACCTAAAATGGTTTTGAACTGATCACAATATCATTATTCCCCCAAGATGCCCACCCCTGCTAAGCAATGGCCCCAATATGACCCCAGAGCAACCCTGCGGCCACAAGGAAACACCGAGACTAACCCATTGTCTCCCGACTGAACTAAGGCTACCGCGTGACTTGGATTTTATTGCGAGGTGGCCCCAGAACGGCCCCGTAAGTCCGAGACGACTTCGAGATTGTCCCAAGGTGACCCTTTCAAACCTTAGTTTATCCGAACATTGTGTCAATATGGTTCCAATGTGACTCCGATGCGTTTCGTCGTTCTCCCCTTGCTCTTGGCTTGGGCTGATAGGACGGATGGGGGTGCTGGCCCTCCCCCCCCTAGTCGTCGTCTTCTTCCTCCCCCTCGCCCTCGTCGCCCTCGTCGTCGTTTTCGTCGTCGTCGTCGTCGTCGCTGTCCGCCTGGACCCCTTGGCCCCATACATAGCAGAAAACCGAAACCCGAACACAAGCCGAATCCATCCATTCCCTGATCAGGCTACTACCACCGCCGCAGACTAGGCACGGCTGACCCAGTGCTTCGTTGGGCACAGCACCAACACAGGCCAAAGGTCAGCCGCAGATCAGCCGCCTCTCGTCGACAGTGGTGGTAGTGACAAGCAGGTGGGCCAACCAAGGAGCTCCAAAATGGCGCGACGAGCTGGGGGCACCTTGGGCCAGGACCGCTTCTAGCAGCACCCGGTCCAGCCGCCGCCACCGCCAGGGCCGCCGCCGGGTCGCGCGGCGGTGCCGCAGCTCTGTCGCGCGCCCGCGGCGACCCCACCGATGGGGCCGCCGCCAGCGGACGCGGCCGCTTGGGCGCCGCCCCCTCCACAGCGAGGCCCCAGCTGCGCCGCCGCGGGGCCGCTCGGGCCCGGCAGGCCCGGGGCGGCGCCGAGGAGGGCGTCGCTGCTGGACAAGCTGGTGACGCCCGTGGCGGCCTACGAGCCCGAGTCGCAGGGCTACCTGGCGCTGAGGCCTGGGGACACGGCGCGCAGGGGAGGAGAGTCGAAGAAGAATACGGAGAAGAATAGGAAGAAGAAAAAGAAGAAGCGATTGCGCGACCAATTAAGCTTAAGCTCTCGGAGGGCCGCGCAGTTGTTTTGGATCGGCGGCGGGGCCCTCTGGCGCGCTCGGCCCGCAGGGGAGGGGGGCCCAGCGCCGATCGAGGAAATCCGCGCGGACCTCCGAAAATTGATGTATGTGCCACTGTTATTTTCCCTAGGTACCCCTTCCCTTCCTTCGTTCTCGCCTCTGTTTCTCCCGTGAGGGCCTCGTCGCCACGGCTGGACTTGCTTCAGAGCGCGCCCCTAGAGAGGATTGGGGAATGGCGGTGTTATTGGTGTCTTCTTGTTTTCCCAGGTTCGGGTGAAGTGGCACCAGTGCGAGCCCGCTGGGGACCTGGACACGTACGAGAGCTACATCTTCGGAGAGCTCATCGACCCCGTGACCACCTCGACGTCGTGCGGCTGGTTCCCCTTCGAGCTTGTCAGCTTCGTCTCCAGACAGAGCCTGAGCAAAAAGTGTTGCTTATCTGCCCATGGCTCTGAGCGAGGGCCGTCGAAGGAGAGACAAACGCCGCAATCACAAACTTTTGGCTCTCCGCGCGGATTTTTTGGATCCGCGCTTGGGCCCCCCTGGCGGCGCCTCTGGCGCCGCGCCTGGCGCGCTCCGCGCGCCAGGGAGGGGGAACAAGCGCGGAGCGCCACAAATTTATGTTTATGCCGTTTTTCTTCTCCTTTCATTGGGCGTGCATGGCAAGAATGGGGACAGCGGACAGTGATAGTCGTGGAGCGGGGGACAGCGGTGCAGGGGGTGTTAGAAGGCGTGGACGCTTACAAGTTCTCCTGTTTCTCCTGGGATGCACCCTCTGGCCGCCTGAGGCCCCGCCCGCCCGCGCCCTATCTCCCCAATCAGTGCTTTGCGCGCCCCGCCTAGCTCTTAACCGGAAGAGGCCCGTTCTCGACCCGCCGACCAAAAATGTTTCTCCTGGGATCGAGGACCAAGTTTCTGCTATTCCCCAAACAGCTTGCTGAACGGGGTGCTGTTGCGGTTGAGGCTGGTTCCGGTCGATGGACGGGCACGCAGAGACATTCTCAAGAGTGGTCCGGGCCGTTCCGCCTGAGACTTGGCATCGCTCGGACGTGTGCATTTTTTCTCGGCGAGAACCATCGAGGACCATCCTGGACCATCGAGCGAAAAAAACACGCACGAAACCGAAAAGTGCACAGGAAATGGACGTCCGAGCGATGGCAAGGAGACGTCCTCACAGTTTTCGCTTCTGAGTTGGCCAGGATTTGGCGTTTCGCCTCACAACTCTGGGCTCCGAGATGCCGCGCGCGAGGTGGGTGGTCCGGCTCCGCGATGCCGCGCGCGAGGTGGTTTGCTTCGTTTCGCCCGAGGCATCCTCAAAATTCTGGGCTCCGAGATGCCGCGCGAGAGGTGGTCCTGCCCGTTTCGCCTGAGACATTCTCGCTCTCTGGGCTCCAAGAAGCCGGAAGAGAGGTGGTTCAGCGCGTTTCGCCTGAGACGTCTCGTCTTCGCAATTCTGGGGTCCGAGGTGCCGCGCGAGAGGTGGTCTGGCGCGTTTCGCTTGAGATATTCGCAATTCCAAGCTCTGAGATGCCGCGCGAGAGGTGGTCCGGCGCGTTTCGCCTGAGACATCCTCGCAATTTGGGGCTCAGAAAATGTGCGCGAGAGGTGGTCTTGCTCGTTTCGCCTGAGACATCCGTGCAGTCAGGGGCTCCGAGATACCGCGCGCGGGGTGGTCTGGCCCGTTTCACCAAAGAAGTCATTTGAATTTGGGGATGTCGAATTGTGCTCTGGGATGGCTCACGGCACTGCTTCTGGGAAAAAAAAACACTGTGGGAAAAACGCACACAAAAAACACACAGACAAAAACACACACACACAAACACACAAACACACACACACACACAAAAAAAAACAGTCTGTGTGTGTTTTTGTGTGTGTGTGTTTTTGTGTGTGTTTTTCCCACAGTGTGTGTTTTTTCCCACAGACGTGGTCGCTCACAGGTGTCGCGCGAGAGATGGTCCGGCCCGGCACCGTGGCGCGAGCACGATTCACAAGTAAATTGCAAGGGACTTCCCAAGGAGGAGCCATGCTTGAGCAAACCGTGGATGCTTCGAGCGACAGCGCGGTAAGCAGAGGGGAGGCAGGAGAGAAATGGAGGAGGAAAAAATCATAATGGAGGAAGGAGGCGGGACCAGGCGTTTCCGATTCCCTCCACACCTTGGCATGATCGAATCACTTGTCCGGTTGTGTTCGGCACATGTTTCCGTTCATCGCTTGTTCGGCTGATATATGATATATGTGATGTCTATCTTCGGTGAAGCAATCAATTGTTCGGACAGTTGTTCGGAAAATCGCGGCTGTAGTCATCGGTTTCGGCATGCGTTCCTATTGGAAACGAGGTTTAAGGAGAGGATGTATAGCGAACGCTATATCCGACGCTGTCTTTGCTCAAGACTGCGCTGTCTTATATGCCAGGTACAAGCGACTGTGTGCGCCTCAAGTGGGGTCTTAGCAACGGACAAAAGGCCACGTCCTTCCATGATTCATCTTCCATTCCCATGGTTTCTCTCTTATCTATCCTCTCGCTTGCCATCAAGGGATGAGTTGTGTGATATTTCGATACGTCGCCGACGTTATCCTAAAAGTAGCGTTCTCCATGGATTACCGAGTGGTCAAACCTGCACCTTTATTTTTCATTTGGTAGCGGAGCTGGCTACATCTTCATGTGGCTGGCTCTTGCATCAGTTGTTTTGTACATGACCACGTACCACGGCACAGTGGATTACCCGACTGCGCCGACGCTCAGCTACTACACCCCCGCTATTTTCGAACCAATCGGTAACCTACTGTCCTATACCTCTATTTCCCCACCGCCATGCCACACGCCACGCGCAACCCAAACACCGATACCTATCCTCAAGCTCACGTCCACGTCAGACCAGACCCAGTCGCAACCCCACCGACGCGACAACATCGAATGATAAGCAACCGAACATCGTCAGCTACAACAATAAGCACCATGTTAAGGTCGCCGTCTCTGCAATTATCTGAGCGTGCCTGGGCTTTGCCGTGACGTACATGCGAGGAGGAGGACTGGATGAAATACGCAACGTGCGATTTCGCGACTTTGTTCGTAAAGTACACGCATGGCTGAACGTCGCAAGCGCAAGCAGGATTCCACCTCAACAGGCCGCAGCATTACAGCGCGGTCCAGGAGGATTCGCCAGGAAACAAGCCATCATCCACCATCATCAACTATGGTGCTACGCTACATGGAAACTCACCGACGGAGTCGCATGCATCATACACCTATTAAGCACCAAATTTGAAAACCTTGAGGACGAGCTACAGCTCACCTCGGGGACAGCCCTCATCGACTTTAGGGTCGAGAGAGGCGAACGCATCGACTCTGTGCTTGCCCAAGTCGAGATGGCCAGGCAGGCAGCTGACTCAGCAGGTTTTACACTCCCAATCTCCAGATTGATCTTATTTCGCGCCTTGGGGGTTGGAACCTCCCGAGCAGCACAGCTTCTGCAGCCGCTGAACCACCGGGTGCCCCGTGCACGACCAGCTTCTGGAGCGACTGCGCAGCCGTGGACACTTGGCTGAGCGCCCCCATGGAACGTCGGGTGCATTTTCAGCGGACGCAACGCCCGGCACTTACCACGCTTAAGTAAGCGAAGCACCGGCAACCATGCCGAACAGCATCTGGAATGACAGAGAGCCCGCTGGGCCCACTACGCTTCTAGACCAAGACGCCAACAACGACAACGAACGGGCGTCTGGCTCGAACGCGGGCTGGCCGGCAGCAGCCAGCTACGCGCCACCTGGAGAGACTACCCTCTGGGGCTCACCCAGCCACCGAGGCGATGATGCGTTCGACTCCGGCACGGATACCGACGCGGTCTTCTCTACCAGCGCGGAGAACCTCGACTGGTCAGACCGACCCGCCGGCGATGATGCAGCTACGCAGAACCTAAGCCCAGGGTGTCATCGCGCCAAAAAAAGCGGAGGATACATATGAAGAAACCATTTAGGAGGTTCAGGCGAGCCGCGCGTCGTCTCTTCTTCCGCAAAGGGGAGGGTCGCTGCAAGGGTGGTCGACGCACCGGCAGATTGCATAGCAAAGGCACGGCCGCGTTCCTGGCTCGATTGACCGACTACTACCTTGAAGACCTGGGTCGTAGGCGCACCGCAGGTGAGGGCGAGGGGCGCAGGCTGAATCCAAAGTGTAAGGACGGAAGAAAAAAACATGACATGCATCTCCTGCGGGAGCGACGAACGCTTCCGAGCGCGATGTTCTAAGGGGGGCGGAAAAGGGGGCGGATCCGCATTTCTGGGCTCGGGCCAATCCGAAGCGGGCATCATCGAGCACGTTGATTTCCCCGAGCTAGATTACCCCCCGTCTCACACCAGTTCGTCTTGGTTTTTGATGGCCCACTTCGCCAGCGCCGCCGTGTCGGTCGAGCTGCGCGCGGAGCACGTCCACGACGGGATCGAGGAGCTCCACGACGCCCCCTCGAGGATTGGGTCGGCGCGCGTTGGCGCGGGCGCGCGCGGGGAGATTTTGAACGCGACGACGAGGGCGAGCGCGCGTCCGACGCGGAGACCATACCTGCCACTGGCGCTGAAATATTTGAAAAGCTCGGACACGAGCAGTACCGCCCTCATCCGCCCCCAGCCCCGACCTTGCTCGGATTCACAGAGTAGGAGCGGGCTGCGGCGGTCTGGGGCCAGACCCGCACCAGCGCATTCACGATGCGGGGTAAGTCTGGAGAGGCCCCAATCGGCTCTGGCGGTCCTTGCAAGGGCGACAAAGGGAGAAGCGGTCGCCGGCGCCGCAGCTCATCGGCCCGCCGCGCAGCAACCGGATCCGGCAAAATTGGAAAACCTTGCTTGGGCACGGGCGGTCTCGGCTAGTCTAAAGGCAAATTCTACGCCGAACCAGCCGAACCCTCGTGCGGCGCGAGCTCCAGTAACAGAGGATGTGGAAAGGGGCGCATGCCTCCCCATGCAAGGGGCGCGCCACTTTCTCGCGCGACGACCAGGGCCCCGCGCGGAGATCGACGGTTCTGATATGAACGAGTTCTTCGAGCAGGCCTTTGCAGAGGCCGAGATTCGTCATTGGTGAGCCTTAAAACATCATGCTATCCGTGACGAAAAATGTCACATCACCAAAACATCAGAACGTCGCGGCGGAGACAGCGACGAAAGGCGGGCATTCAAACGCGATGTGATTAAGCAGCGCGGGACATGCCGCATATGGCCGTGCCCAACTCACAGTCAGCATCGAGGCAAGTCCCAGATTAACTGCCCATCTTGTAGCCCTAATCATGGCGCGGCGCCTTGGCACCCCGACGTCGGTGATGGGCGGCAAGACGGCCGCGCCCATTGCAGATCGCGTCTCGTTCTCCGACACAGAAGCCCAAGGAGTGGAGGAAGCATGGCGATTTCTACCAGATGACCACCTCCTTGTGGTATACCAAGCGGACTGGCGGCGTCGTCATCCGGGTGGTTATCTTGCCGAAGACGCCAACGACAGTGGCGACAGCGCTATTCCCCGCCACCGCGAGCTGAACACGACAGGTTAGGGCGTTGGTAGTTATTGCGCCGAGGCCCCTGCGCACCCATCCAGGGTCGATTCAAGCGGCAGATGGAAATATGAGGGGGGGGGGGGGGGCGAACGGCCCCTCGCGCTGACGTCGCCTGCAGGGTCAGCGGGCGGACGCGCCCAGGAGACTCAAGAAGATGAAGCTCCCAGGAAGAATCTGCCCCCCGATCAAATCTGGAAGAATCCCCCGAGTTCGAAGACAAGGACAAGAACGAGACGAAAAACAAGGATAAGCACGGTTCTTGCAGACGGCCGAACGGTTCAAAGGCAGCTCGACACTTGTGCCCGATCCGCCGGTCATTCAAGGATCCGAGAAATCGCATGAAGATCTGGCTTTGAGGTACTTGGGCACCGAAGCCATCGGCTGCAAGCCAGACAAGTTCGACCTCGGCCACGGGCAAAGATGGGCCATCAACTGGCGCTCCTTTCGACGAGGCAGCAATGCGAAAACTGAATGCCACAGAAGAGCTGACGCCGAAGACCAGGGGGGACCGAAGCTGGGACACTGGAAATTACCGCAACCACTGCCGATTGGCACACAGTGACAGCCCAGGCCGCAGGGTCTCCGGGCGCTGATTCTCTGGCCATCAGCAAAGAAGAGGGCGACGCTGATCAGTGCTACGCAGTCAGAGTTCCAGGGTGGACCATCTCAGGCAAAGTTCCAGGGCGGGCAACCTGCTGAGCCTTCTGCCGGGTCGTCGGCCGCGGCGTCGTCGTCAGCCCAGCCGCCGCCGCTTGTGCCACTCGCGCCGAGGTCGAAGGCTGCGCCCAACGGGCAGGATGGCACCGACGCTCTCGCTGGGGCGGACGCGCTCACATGGCCTCCAAGAGAAGAAGGGGCGGACACGCCCGGAAAAGACAACAACCCTGGCCCATCTGCGATGCCGACGCAGCCTGCCGCCGAAACACCACAAGAAGCGCCGCGCAGGAAGCTTCGCACCGTGGGCCCTCTGACACTCCGGGGAAAAAGACGCGGTTAGAAACCTTAAACGGGGAACAGCCATTACAAAGACCGACCATTTCCACATCGAAGTGAAATGGCTGCTATGTCTGCGTGGTGGTCTCACATTTGCAGGCATCGGCCATTTCGTAACAGTACGCACTGCCAGCGATTCACGAGGCACTGCTGGTCTCGAGGCCCTTGCAACGGATGGATAGGGGCCCCGGATGCTCTGACCCACCCTGTGCGTGGTCGCCAATACGAAACAGTCGCCAGTTGGATGATTGGCCCATCGCCCGAATATGTGACATGGCCACACCTGCACATCGCCGAGGCGAAGGACTATTCAGGCGAAGGCACGCCTCCAGGTAAGGCGCGCGCACGACAACGAGGATATCCCAACGCTGTGGATCAGAGCCACCAGCGGACACTCGCCGCGCTCGCCTCCCGGCATCCGGCGCTCAGAATCATTGCGCGCTCCAATAGCATATGTAGGCAGCGAGGGCCCCCTAAGTTTTCTCACGCATGGAACCGGAGGAGAACGCCTCCAGAGCATCTTTGAGTACGGGCTGTCCTGCCGTGCAGAGCATAACCTAATAAGTAGGCACGGTTGGCAGCTTCTGCGCGGAAGCCCGCATCTGCAAGGAGGCCCCAGGATCCAATCAGGCTTCAGGCCCGACTCAAATTTCTTCATTCATATCCATCCCGCGCCTGTTACAAGACGCACAAAATGTGTTGCGTTCTGCCGGCGATATCGCCATGACGGACGGTTTCGATGACATCGTCCCGACCAAGTATTTCACCCGGCTAGCGCTGAAGTCCGAAGACGAGCGGAAACATGTCTGGCACAATTCCCAGTGCTCCGATGACGAATGGCACAAGTTGCGGAATTTGCTGCTAACCATAGAATATGTCCCATTCGCAGGCAACTGGTCCGAGCCAGACAGGCCGCATGGCGCCGGGGTGGACGCGCCTATGGAACTTCTTGGTGTGGAGCAGCACAGTGGATCTGCATCCCGTAGGGCTCTCGACCCAGACAATTCGCCACCGGAACTTGAAGAGACGCGTGCCAGCTCACTGATGGACGCGGGGGCGCCTGCGGAAGAAGCCATGCCAACATATGCCGTGCGCTAACCGACACAGGCTCATCCTCACGGATGCTGCCTCAATCCAATGACGTCTCGTCTCTGTCGGACGTGGCCAGCCGGTTCGATCCGCGGGCCGACGCCTTGCGAAATGCACCAGCAGGGCCGCCCATGAGTTTCGGGCCGGCAAGGCCACGGTCAAACGCTGGCCCGATTAGGTTCGAGCCCTCGGCACTCGGTCAGCCAAGGTCCGACCCGGGCCTAGCGTCAGGGGCGGACACGCCCAATGGATTACAAGCAGCATCGACGAGTAATGAGGACCTCATGCAGCGCATGGCCATGCGACGCCAAGATCCTGACCTGGCAGCCGCTATAAGGGCAACTACGCCCTTCGGCACTCCGCGCCAAGGCCAGGCCACTGGCAGTCCAACAAGCTCACCGATGGCATCCCCAACAACGGACCAGCCTGGACACAGGCAGTCTGCACGTGAGCAGCAGAGGTTTCTCGCAGCAGCAAAATCAGTCAGCTATGGCTGGGGTGAGGCTGCTCAGAGTGGGTGCAACAGACCGGATCAAGTGGACACCTCCTTGGGAATCGCACGCCGGTGCGAGTCCATCGGCAGACCGCCCAGATAGGTTGCCATTTATGCCAGCCTTCGCTGCGCACCCGACATGTTTGCCACCCAAAGGCCCAGCACCAGCACATATGGACTATCCAGGATTTCCCGAGCACTATGCGGAGATCAACGGAACACAAATGGTGGGCCAAGAACCTCGTGAATCGGGGCATGGCGGATGACTTCAATCGTTTGGACGCGGTGCGTGTCTCAGGTGCAGAGACGTGCCCGCACGTGGTTATCACCCTTCGCCTACACACCCAGACGCGATAGCGCAGCCATCAGCACTTGAGGTTAACCCACCTGCAAGCACCTTGCCGTCATATTTGCATGATGTCCACGCGATGATGCCCGCAAACATGCAAGCTGCAGAAGAACCCCGAATTGCCGCACGTGACCGGAACTTGAGGCGGATGCAACGCATGGCCAACCGCAGCGCACAGGCGGGCACGCGCCGACCGCGATGTCCAATCCAAGTTCCAGAGATGGACCACCACCGCCACCCTACGAAGCGGATGAGTCTACGCTGCAGCGGCAAGGGCGGACGCGCCCGAGCTCGGACACCCGTGGTGTCGGATATATCCTTCGCACAGTGTGCTGTGTCCCTCGAGTCCTTCGCGCTGGGCGAAAGGATGTGGCGGCTTCAGTGCGGCCACCAATGCCATGCCGAATGCTGGGGCCGCAACGCTCGGGTGCATGTGTCAACGGGGAAGGGCAGGGATCGGGGTAGAGGTTCATGTGCCATATGCAGGGGGCCAGGAGTCATCGTGGCGGACTGTCCACATGCGGGACATATCGACCCATCGAGCTCAGCAGCTGTGGCCATGCAGCAGGCTCAAGAGATATCTGACCTGCGCCGCAGGCAGGATGAGGTCGTGGTGCCGATTATGCCGACAAGCTCGGCCACGAGCCATGTGGTTCCAGCGATCTCCCCAGCAGTGGCAACTCCGATCCCGCTCCTGCACGATGCGGGGGCGCCTGCAGTCGACGCCCCATCGATGCAGGATGCGGGGGCACCTGCAGCACGCGCAGTGCCAAGCCCTTTCAACAACCCACTGCTTAACCCAAGAAGAACAGCAGCATACGGGCACAAGGCACCGCCGAAGCCCTCGCTCGGCCACGAGCAGGAGGGCGGATCCCCCATCGAGCAACGCGGCCGACTTATTAGCAATCCACATCATTCATGCGCCAGGGCAACGTGATCCGCACCATTGGCGAAGAAACGAACGCACTGCCCGAACCGATCAACACTCAGAGGCATGCCGATTGGGTGATCGAGCGTGGGCCTGCCACGGTGGAAGAAACGAACGCCTTCATGGCTACTTGGGCCCTGCGACTATGAACCTAACGAGGAACCAGTTCATCGTCCACCAGAGGAGGCTCGGAAGGCAGGTGGGCGCGGAATCGCATGCCATTTCGGCCCCAGCAGGCATCCAGCATGCATGTGCACGCAGCAGGATTGTTCAAAACGTTGATCTCTGGAGAGCTGAGTATGCTGGCGGATATAGGTTCGAACAACAACAGCACGGGTATTAACGCAGCGCGATAGTTCGACCGTCAATCCCGCCAGCATGGACACATGCCGAAGGTCACTCACTTGGGAAAGCTGCTCTATGTTTACGGAGTTGGCAGTGGCGCAGCCAGATGCCGGACTACGGGGGCGTTCGCGAGTGCGTGTAAATACCAACATCACGACAAGCCACCGGCCACCAAGGTATACGCTTTGTTGGTAACATCGCAGAAGGATCCGGCTCAGATCTGCCCGTCATCTTTGGGCTAATCTCCGTGCAGTCAAAGAGGACAACCCTTCTCTTGGAGGAAGGCAGGGAGCGCAACGTACTTCCAGACTCGCACGCGCACAAGGTGCAGGTTGGCAAT